TTTATACTATATATGAATTTAGTGTACGTGTATATATTCTCATAAATTGTTCAAGTGCAAGCACAATAGTTTACCTACTTAGAGTCTGACAAGATTTTTGACTTATAAATCAAAAGTCATAAGTTAAAAATTTTAACTTATGATTTTTGATTTATTTTCATCTTTTTGACCTAAAAATATATGAAAAAAATATATTTTATATATTTTACCTATATATCATAATTAATTTAACTTACACAACACGATAAATAAATCAATTCAAACAGACTCTCAATTACGTTTTAACTTGTTGGTCGTTGTGGTCCATGAATGGGTAGCCAGAGTGGTCCTCGTATATTATATAGATTGATTGAAGACGACGGAAACTTGTTTGTCTATGGACCGCATCTCATGTCTCTATCAAAAAAAACATGTAACATAATGTATACAAATTATTACCGTTTTATGAATTTCATATCTATAATTTGAATGTTCATAAAAATTCGTTGAATTATTAAAAACTTATTGTCTTAGGTGGATTCATTTTTAAAAAATTATATTTTTATCACTTTTCAGTAAGTTATTTTAAATATTTTATCATGTATTTAACTGAAGATTTTTTTTATGAAGGGAGTTATACTCCATGGGATAAGTGCAAGAACACTATGAAATTCATAAAATAGTTATAGTTTAGAGAAATTTTAACCTGTTCGATCATTCTTGGGCTGAAAGATTTACTAGCTACTTTAAATTTTTTTCAAAAATAAATAATTTTGTATCCAACTGTTGGAATGTATGCGTCCACTAGTGATTCACAAGACCAGGTCCTTTGGTACAGTTAAATTGCAGAAAGTATATAGCTGGAAGTAAAATCAACACATGAGATTTTACGTGAAAATCTCCTTGCTCAAGGGTGTAAAATCACGACCTGTCACACAGGATTTTCAACTGCTTTCACTAATCTCCAATCAAAAGTGAATACAGATTTCAACTACACCAATGAGACTAAACTCTTAATCTCATACTAAGTAATATGCCTATTACTTACTAAGCCAAATCAATGCATCTATTTTCCACTATATTAACTATCACTAATTAATATAGACTTCAATAGTAAGACGACACAAAGTTAACTCTAACAATGTTCTTACACCCACTCGCACAAAGGTTTGAAACGTTTCTTATAAGAGTGAAACGAATCCTACAAATTTAGCACATTACAAGCATTCAAAACAAGAACACACATGAATAACACTTCTACAGTTGATCAGGTCCCTTGTTGTATTTTGAAGCTTGGTTTTTCTCTCTCTTTGAAAGAATGAATCATTTAGTTGTTTGTCTCTTGATTATATCAATCAAGAAGAATTGTTGACCACTGGACAAACAACCTCGTCCATTTCTATTAGTGAAGTACACTAACTGCTCCACCAACACACTGACAAGACAACTTTTCAGTTGTACACCATATTATATCTGAACGAGAACACTCTGCTGAGGACCTAGAATCATCAAAACACCTAGAATACATCACCATCTTTATAAAGATGAGTGCAGATCTATAAATAAAAAATGTTGTAATAGTATCTACATGCAAATCCTAAATTATCAAAAGGTCATTCGAGCACGTTAAAAATTCATCCCAAAATCTATCCCCTAACTAGAACTAGAACACTTATAGGAGTTATTGTGTCAATTTCTTTCATTTCTCTTGTTAGACCGCTTTAGCACTCATAGCTATAACCTTAACTTAGTTATTGTACCTCAGCAGCCACATGAATTGGTTGAAACAAAAGCAAAATACAGTTAGAGATTTCTTATGTGATAATTCAAGATATTTTTATGCAAAAATAAAAAAAGTTTAATTAAAAAAACATGAAATTAAAGTAATTTTTGTAAGTATAATATTACATTACCAATTGACCTCTTTTTCACCTCTCCCTTGCTAAATAACCCTTGTTTAGTAGTACCACGTACAACTTTTTCAGACTTCTGAAGCATGCTCACTAATAAGATATCATAATATTTGGGACTTTAAATCCCAATAGGCATGCTCTAAAGCTTCTTTTCCCTTGGTGTGTGTGGGGGTATTGTCATTTTTATTTTCTATTTTACGTTTGATATTCATATTAAAATTAAATTAAATTAAGTTTGAATTCATACGTTATAGACTCATTTCTGAATTTTGTTAATAACACTTCAAAATAGAATCCATTCTATTATAAGAGATTTCGAATTAAAGCATTTAAATTTTAATGGACATGTCCTACATGTGTTGTGTTTCCAAAAAGAAGTTGTAGAGTACGTAGATTCATTAATGATGAGATGACAGGCAGATGTAGCAAATTGAAAGATCAAATTATGATCCAACCTATCGAAAATATGCTTCGATCAAAATAAGTTGGATCAAAACGGATTAAATAACACGTCACAATGCAATCCGACATAATCTAATATTTCAATGTTGTAAGGTGTATTCGGTACCGAGAAAAATGCTTTCAATTTTTTTTCATTTTAAGTTGGTCAATATTATTTTTGAAAAATATTTTTCCTACTGAAAATAAGTTAATTCCTTAAAAATGAGGAAATTGATTTCTCTAATGGAAATAGTTAGGGGCAGATCCACATAGAGTCCGTCGGTAAAAGCACCTATTAACCTTGTAAGTTGTATGGACTATGCATATCTATGTAGAAATTAAAAAGTATTAGTATAAGATTTACATAAAGCACCCAATAAACAAGTGGATTGATTGGTCCAGTGACTTATGGTGGGTGCTTAAGGTTGTTTTAGCGTTGTTGAGCCTGAGTTAGAATTTCACTCTCAACATGTTTTTTTATATATTTTTTGAACTCCTTTAGTGAAAATTTTGACTCCGTCACTATTAAACTAAGAGAACACCCATAATTTTAAAATCCTAAATCCGCCACTAGAAATAGCTAAAAATAAGTTTCACAAATGATATTTCACATTTACAATATCTTCCATCCTCCAACAACTTCATAACCTCTATCGCCATCACCCCACACCCTTACTTCCACTCCTACCGTTTATAATAATTATCTAAATTATATGTAAATACTTTTAAGACAATAATTTTTACTTACTCATCGAACAATATTTTAAATGTACTCACACTCTTAAATTACCTAGTTTCTCCATCCAAATCACATGGTTCAAGGTGAAATAAAGAATAGAATATTGAAAATATCAATTCAAGGTAACCTCGGATGGTCAAATGGGACTCACTTCGACTCGAGGGCCGAGCCAACTTAGGTCATAGGCCATATTCCTTCTGTTCTATTTTACCTGTCGTTTTTATGAAAAAAAATAAATGATTCAAAATAATTATCATTCTAAAAAATTAAGGTATAGTTAGTTATTTATTTCCATTTTTATTTGTAATCATAAATATTATGGGAAATAAAAAGAAGCATTAAAAATTTATCCATTAAATCGCTTTAGAGTCTCGATTAATTTAAATTTAAACTATATAAAACACATTCCTGTCGCAATTTTTTCACTCTCAAACTTCGAACCTACTATCTCTATACTTGAGGACAGAGGATGTGGTCATAACCCTGTTTAAAATAGATTTCAAATTGTATACATATTAATAGTCTGTTTGATTAAACTTTTGAAAAGTCAAAACTGTTTATTTTTAAAAAGTGAGATCTCTGGTCAAATTTTTGAGAAAAAATAAGTATTGCAGCAGCAAAAACTATTTTTTTCAAAAGCTAAAAAACTTATTTTTACTCAAAAGTACCTTTTTAAAAGCTAAAAAACTTATTTTTACTCAAAAGTACCTTTTTAAAAGGTCCGCTTAGAAACACTTGCAATTTTTTTAGCCCAACACAAACAGTATCTACTCAGAAAAACATAATAGTAATTCAAAATAAATTAATTTTAGAAGTTTAGACACACAAGCTATAAAATCTATCTATTATGAGAGTCCACATGTGAAATGTCAATACAATAAAATACAACACAATATATTATAAAATAGTACTTTCTTTGTCCCAATTTGTGTGATTTACTTTTCTTTTTAGTCGATTCCACAAAGAATGACATATTTCTATCATTCCTTTTTACCTTTAAAATGTATATTTTATTCTTAATAAAATGATTTATAACCACGCAAAATTCTACATCATTCATTTTAGACCACAAGTTTTAAAAGTCTTTCTTTCTTTTTTAAATTTCGTAGCAAGTCAAACTACCTCCCATAAAATGAGACGAAGAGAGTAATACATAACAATCATCCAAATAGAATGTTAGAAACTCTAAAAATGAAAAAAAAAAATCTTATTAGCAATGCTGCCTAAAATATAAACACTGTAATGCACAAATTCAAATTTAGTCGAGCACGCCCACCAAGAATATATAAACTTAAACATTACTCCCTCCGTCCCTTTTTAGTTGTCCACTTTAGAAATGACACACAGATTAAGACAACAATGATTAGCACAGTGAAGTTACAATTTTACCCTTATGACAACTTTTCATTTCAAAATTACAACCACTTATTTGAATTAAAGTGAAATAAATTGGAGGGAAACAACATACACTTTTACAATTTTCAAGAAGTGTAAATAAGGGTATAATAGGAAAAAATTTGTTGTCCTTTCTTGATTTGTCAAAATGGACAACTAAATAGGGACAACTAAAAAAGAAAATATGGACAAGTAAATAGGGACGGAGGGAGTACCTTTTTTTGAGCAACAAATATAACAGCCTTCAAAAAGAAAAATCTAGAGTGATACCTGACATACACAGTTATCATGTTCCCTAGAAAAGAAAAATACTTTACTTAGATTCCTCCATTTTAGCACTTTGTGTTCCCCCTCTTCACGTGCTTCCTTTCAAGAACCGCACTTATTGCTACATAGTACTCCAAAAAATACCAATTACCCTTCTTGTGGTGTGTGTAAAAAAAAAATAACTCTCCCTATCCCATTTCTATACTTATCAAAGCCAAAAAAAAGAAAGAATGTCAACTGAAAAATCCCATTTTTTCTAACAAATAATGAAAAATCAAGACCAAGTTCAAGATTTTAGCTGTTTTTACCAGTACCCATTTGGGGTTTTCATGTTTTTAATCCAAGAAAGAGATGTGGGGTGTGTTAAAATGAAGGAAAAATGGATACCATTTATCCAAATTTTGTTGTTTTTGCAGCTGATGATTTGTGGAGCTCAGTTAGCTTTAGGTCAAGTTTGGGATGGTGTAATTATCACTGAGGCAAATTATCAAGCACTTGAAGCGCTCAAACATGAGTTAGTTGATCCTAGAGGGTATTTAAGTAGCTGGAATGATAGTGGTTATGGAGCTTGTTCTGGTACTTGGGTTGGCATAAAATGTGCTCAAGGACAAGTTATTGTTATTCAGCTTCCGTTAAAAGGATTTGGGGGAAGAATCACTGAAAGTATTGGTCAATTTCAAGCACTCAGAAAACTTAGTTTTCATGATAATGAAATTGGTGGTTCAGTACCTTCATCTTTGGGTTTTTTACCCAATCTAAGAGGTGTTCAATTGTACAATAACAGGTTTTCTGGTTCTATTCCTGGTTCACTTGGTTTATGTCCAGTTCTACAAACACTTGAACTTAGTAACAATTCTTTATCTGGTGCAATCCCTGATAGTCTTGTGAATTCATCTAAGCTTTATAGACTTAATCTTAGTTACAATTTATTGTCTGGTTCCATTCCTGTTAGTATAACTCAATCGCGCTCTCTAGTCTTTATTGACTTGAAATATAATAACTTGACAGGGTCTATTCCGGATTCTTGGGGTGGAAATGGAGATAGACAGTTTAAATTAGAGTCGTTGACGCTTGATCATAACTCTTTGTCTGGTGGAATTCCTGTTTCTTTTGGGAAGTTGAGTGAGCTTCTTGAGATTTCGTTGAGTCATAATCGTATCGTTGGTGTCATCCCAAATGATATTGGAAGGCTTAGTATGGTTAGGAATCTTGATTTTTCTTATAATGAGATTAATGGTAGTTTGCCAGAGAGTATAACCAATCTGTCCTCCCTCATGGTTCTCAACTTGGAAAGTAACAATCTTGATGGTGAAATCCCGTTGGATGTAAAGAAGTTGCAAAAGTTGTTGTTTCTTAACCTGAGGAATAACCGGTTTAGAGGTGATATTCCAGCTGCTATCGGGGACATTTCTGGTCTAGTCGAGATAGATTTGTCTCGTAACAATCTAACCGGAGAAATCCCAGAGTCTGTTAGTGAGTTACCTAATCTTAGTTCCTTTAATGTTTCATATAACTCTCTGTCTGGTCCTGTTCCTACTTATCTTGCTAAGAAATTCAATTCAAGTGTATTTGTGGGTAATGTTCAGCTATGTGGCTATAATACTTTGAATCCATGTCCTGTTACGCCTTCTCCAGTTACACGAGGTAGAAAACGAAGTATTAAAGACATTATTCTCATAGTAGTAGGGTGTCTTATAATAGTCTTGTTTCTACTCTGTTGCATTCTCCTCTGCTGTTTGATCAAGAAAAGAGGTGAAGCCAAAAAAGCAAAAGATGTAAAGGATGTTCCTCCAACTGCCGGAGAAGTTGAGGCGGCTGGGGATAACGGAGGAAAACTTGTCCATTTTGGTGGAGGTATGATGTTCAGTGCAGATGATCTTCTTTGTGCTACTGCAGATATATTGGGAAAGAGTACTTTCGGTACGGTGTATAGGGCTACATTAGAAGATGGAAGTCAAGTTGCAGTGAAAAGAATGAGAGAAAAGATCACGAAAGTTCAGAGAGAATTCGAAAAAGAAGTCAATGTTCTTGGAAAGATAAGGCATCCTAATCTTCTGGCTATTAGGGCTTATTACTTAGGGACAAAAGGCGAGAAGCTTCTTATTTTCGACTACATGCCTAAAGGAAGTCTCTCAAATTTTCTTCATGGTAAGCAGAAAACAGATTTCCATTTGACATTCTTTTGCTTCTGTTTTTTTGAGAATCAGATACTTTCTATCCCATTTTACGTAATGAAACTTGGATTATGTATCATATCGGAAACAACTTCTCTAACTCACACAATGTAGGTAAGGTCTACGTACACTCTACACTCCCCAGACCCCACTTGTGAGATCGCATGGGGAGGAAATTGTTATGGAGGGGGTAATATAGCTTTATTGTTTTTGTTGCAGCTCGTGGACCGGATACACCAATTGATTGGCCAACAAGGATGAGAATAGCAAAAGGGACGACGAGGGGATTGCTGTACCTTCACACTAATGCCAACATCATTCATGGGAATCTTACATCAAGCAATGTTCTACTTGATGACAACACAGATGCAATAATTGCAGATTATGGCCTTTCACGCCTTGTAACTGCTGCTGCAAATTCAAATGTTATAGCCACAGCAGGGGCTCTTGGTTATCGCGCACCTGAGCTTAATAAGCTCAAGAAAGCCAATGTGAAGACGGATGTCTACAGCCTCGGAGTCATTATACTTGAACTCCTAACTGGCAAGTCTCCAGGTGAGGCAGTGAATGGTGTAGATTTGCCTAGAAAGGTGGCGTCAATTGTGAAAGAGGAGGGAACAAAAGAGGTATTCGATTTGGAACTAATGAGGGATGCATCCATAATTGGTGATGAATTGTTAGTTACACTAAAATTGGCTTTGCACTGTGTTGATCCCTCGCCATCAGCTCGACCAGAACTTCAGCAAGTTCTCCGGCAACTGGAAGACATTAGGCGTGAAACGCCAACTGCAGGTCCCTCGACAAGTTACTAGATACTCAGTTTTTGATTTTATTAACATGATTCTTTCATTCTTGAATTTCATTGCTAGAGTACTAGATCTGTTTCAAGTGTCTTTAAATAAAAGTGTGCAACATTGTTAAAAGTGTTTGAGCTTAATGGAGTCCTAAATACCATCCCCTTTTGGCCTAAAGAACATAACTTGAGATTGAGGTTTCTCTCATTACATACATCCTAAAATTTTACATGTTTTATCACTTCGAAACAACTTTAAATATACCAAAAGCACCTTTTATTTTAGTTATATATATACATTGATGATGTAAAAAATATAATCTCTACGATATATATATATAGTTAAAATGTCATTTCGTTCAAGAATTTATATAAAGATGACATTCCAATTCAGAGGCACGATAAAAGTTTGGGATTCTAAATTTTAGGATAAAAAGAGAAAAATATTGCAAAACATGCTTCTTCTCTTTTTTTTTTTTAAAAAAGAGAAACTTTTGTTGATAGTGGGGTTCGAGAACCCACAACTCTAGCATGAAAAACATTTTCACAGCCCCTTCATTATCACTAAACCGTCAATCAGTTTTGTTAAGAAGTTCACAAGTTAATATACATATATATTCATTTAATTTTCTAATACACATATAGAGTCTACAGAAAAGCTAGTAAGTTCGTCTAAAACCCACTTAGCTTCGCCCCAGCATTCCATCACTAGTCCATTCGCCACTACCGTCTCCCACCATTATCACCACCACCATCCACCACCCATAACCAACAACCTCAACCACAGCTACCACTAGGAGTGGCAAACGAGCGAGTCGAGTTGAATATGAGTCGATCAAAAAACGAGATAAATAAAAATGGATAAGTTACTCGACTCAACTCACATTTTAAATGGGTAAAAATTATTTACCCAATGGATAATATGGGTACCCATATTTATCCATATTATAATAGAAATCTTGTTAAAAGCTTTAAAATCAAAAAAAAATTAAGTTTTTTTTTTATCACTTCACTCCATCCCTACCACCCCCCCCCACCCCCTATCCCAAAAAAAGTAAAAAATAAAAAAATAAAAAAGAACCACCCCATCCCTACCAGCCCCCCCCACACCCCCTACCAGCCTCCCCCCCCCCACTCCCACACCCCATCCCAAAAAAAAAATTAACAAAATTTTTAATTTTTTTCATTAAAATTTTTTAATTTTTGTTTTTAAAAAAATTACCACCCCACCCCCTATCCCCTACCCCCTACCAACCCCTCCCCCTCCACACCCCATCCCAATTTCATTAATTTTTTTTTAAAAAAAGTTACCACTCCTCCCCCCTACCAGCCCCCCCCCCCCCCACACCCCATCCAAAAAAAAAAATTAACAAAATTTTAATTTTTTTTCAATAAAATTTTTTTTAAAAAATTTACCAACCCACCCCCTAACTGCCCCCTACCCCTATCCCAAAAAAAATGTAAAAAAAAAAGACTTTCTTACTACCCACCCTTTATTACTTATTTGTGTTTGTGTGAATGCACATTTTTTATCCATTTAATTACCCACTTTTAAATGGGTAATATATGTATTATTCGTTTTACTCATTTTTAAATGAGTTGGATACCCAACCCATTTAAAATGGGTAAATATGAGCGAATACCCATATTAATTACCCATTCTGCCACCCCTAGCTACCACTATAGCTAAATCACCACAATCAGTAATTGCCATAATTACTAGTCATCACAATCATATTCTACAAGTGAAGTTTGAGGAAAATATAGCGTATGCATATCTTCTCCCTCTCTTTGTCGGGTAGAAAAATTATTTTCAATAATAATCGTGTTTCATAACATGTTAGCGGAAAATGCACAAGTAAAAAGCTACAAAAACCACCGCTAACAATCATTTACAATTATTATATCAGCCGTCATTACCATAATAGTATCGTATATATAAGTATTTCGTATGATACTCAGTATTTTGGTATTTCATAGATACCAAATTTCATACTGAATATAAAAAAAAATGAAATGAAAATTGAAATGCATACCGTATGTCATATACTCCGCATTAAATATTGAAATAGTCACTGATGTGCACATTTGTGCTACATATTTACAAATTACAAAATCTCTAGAAAGAAAAAAAAGGAATGAAATTGTAACACGTGCATTCTTCTCTTTTTTTTTTCTTTTTAAATGCTCCAAAACGAGGAAAGGAAAGACAAGAAGTCAAAGAGGGGTTGGGGGAGATTTAAAAAAGGCAGCCCGATACACTAAAGCTCGCGCTATGCACAGGGTTTGGAGAAAGGTTCGACCATAAGGACCTATTCTACGCAATCTTACATTGCATTTCTATCAGAGCTTGTTTCCAATGATTTAACTTGTAATCTTCTGATCACATGACAACAACTTTACCCGTTACTCCAGAGCTCTCGGGGGAGATTGTGTTTTTTTGAAAAAAAAAAAGTTTTTGACAGACCACCTACTTAAAGACATGACTAATAAAAATCAAAGTTTGTTTTTGTAGGTTTCTCTAACAGAACTTATAGTTAGAATTCAAAACCAATCAAATCTTTAAAAGGATTACTTTAATAGACAAAACCAAACAGAAGAAGACTTTTGTAGTCTTTAATTTCATCATCACTAGACTTTATCCTATTACGTTTTTACCATACTTTAGTTATAATCTTTTAACAACCAAACTGTCACTTTTCTAAAGATTTTAATCATCATCTATTAGTGACTTCTGGTGTAGTAGGATTTTATAATTTCACCAAAGACTTTTACCTCCTCGTCGTAACAGAGTCAGGAATTTATACTAGAATATCATATCGGGATTTGAACCTACAATAATAACACCACCTACGTTTTTGCTCCCAAATAAGTTGAGATCGTCCATATGAATCCTCACTTCTTCATTTAAACTCATTTCATATCATCATATTAAACAAAATAAAAGTGAAAAATAAGCTTTATATGTATATGCATTGATACCAAGTATCTGTAGGTCTATCGAGACAACTTCCTTCCATGTGATTTCTAGACCTCTCCTTTTAACACCTTAATGTACCATATTTTCACACCTACAAATTAGTGCATCTGTAGGTTGACGCAGAACATGTGAACTTAATATCTAAAGCAACTTTTGAACCCATAACACTAGAATCTTCCCTTATATCAGAGGGATTCAACGGTTTACATATTATAATAAAAAAACATTTTGATCCTATTTGTCCAGTATAATATTTTCCGACAAAAGAAATTCAATTGAACTCCCATTTAGTCATAACAACTCCAATTAGTTGGATAACAGCACATCGTTAATGTTAAGTAAAAACCATAGAAGTGATTTTTCAAAGAAAGAGACTTTTAGTGTAAGCATTTTTCATGAAAAATTATGCAGTTAGATAGGTTAAGTGGGTGAACCAATATAGCTCAACAGGGTTCAACTAAGTTTTGATAATATAATCTGTCAACCTCAGACAACTTTTATCTCTACTTCTTCCCCTATAAAAGCAGACCCCTCAACTCTACTATCTTTCATAAACAAGCACTGACTTGCATTTCTACTAATACTCGAATCGAGTTTTAGAAAAAAAGGAAAACAAATGGAGGCGTTCAAGAGCATTGTCAAACCTTTGTGCTATTTCTTGTTTATGTGTGTTTTCCTTCTCTTTGCAGATGCAGCATCGGCGAAAACGCATTACCATGATTTTGTTGTAAGCTATCCAAGATTTCGCTTCTTTGGTATCTGCTAAGTGCTAACATTTCATAAATTTTACAAATTATATGATACTGACCTCTGTTTTTGTGGAACAGATTCAAGCAACACCAGTGAAGAGGCTGTGCAAAACCCACAACACCATAACGGTGAATGGACAATTCCCTGGACCAACATTAGAAGTAAACAACGGGGATACTCTAGTTGTCAAAGTAGTCAATCGAGCTCGATATAATGTCACCATTCACTGGTAAGTTCATGCATGCAGAACTCAAATGAACTGATATATGCTACTCCAATGAATAAGACATGATTAAGTTTCATATGACCTTTTCTCTTACTTTTTTATACTATTTTGTTGTGTTTCAAAAGGCATGGGGTTAGGCAAATGAGGACAGCATGGGCAGACGGACCAGAATTTATCACTCAGTGCCCAATTAGACCAGGAAAGAGTTACACTTACCGGTTCACAATTCAAGGACAAGAAGGGACACTTTGGTGGCACGCCCACAGCTCATGGCTCAGGGCTACTGTTTATGGAGCTCTAATTATTCACCCAAAAGAAGGAGGAAACTATCCATTTCCTAAGCCCAAAAGAGAAACACCTATTCTGCTTGGTAATAATTCTACCTTCTCTTATCATTAGAAGCTTTGACCAATTTTCAAAAGCAATACTCCCTCTGTCCCATTTCATGTGCCCTTGTTTGACTGAAAAGGATAGTGGTTCACATAAAATCCAACAGAGGGGGTACTAGTTATGCATCTGCTCATATTCTGTTTCCTTTTAGAAATATTGTTGAAATGATAATTTGGAAATGCTGATCAGGTGAGTGGTGGGATGCAAACCCAATCGATGTTGTAAGAGAGGCTACAAGAACAGGAGCAGCTCCTAATGTATCAGATGCTTACACCATCAATGGTCAACCAGGTGACCTCTACAAGTGTTCCAGTCAAGGTTAGCTCTAAATTCTAGTCTCACAGAAAATTTTAAACAGGTAACCATGAAATTTGCATCAGAAAGAAATTGTGTCTCGACTCTTTTGTACAGACAGTCAAGATTACTTCTAAAAGCAAAATTATTTTGTTCAAATACTCAAGACAGTAAAATCATCTATCACTCTTAAAAGATCAAATAATAGAAGCAAATTTATACATGGTAAAAGGAATAATTTCCAGCTAACAATGTATGCTAGCATTCACTAAACTATGATATGATATCTTACTGGTTCAGGACATGTTTTAATAGAAATCATATTTATGCAGATACCACCATAGTTCATACGGACTCTGGCGAAACCAACCTCCTTCGAGTTATCAATGCTGGAATGAACCAGGAGCTTTTCTTTACTGTGGCAAACCACAAGTTTACTGTTGTTGGAGCAGATGCCTCATATGTTAAACCCTTCACTACATCAGTCCTTATGCTCGGACCAGGCCAGACAAC